CTGCGTAAGTAAGGAAACCCCAGCTTCCCTGGCCTACTTGCACAGACATGTCATGAGATACCCCTGGAAGTGCCTCTGTAAGAGTGGAAAGCCTGGCAGGCATTTGAAGAGCTTGAGGGGCCTGACCCTGTGTGGGAATTCCTGGGGTGCAAGGATTGGGCCCCTTCAAGCTCTGAGCTGCCCAGGATCTCCCACTACAAAGAAAATACATGTCTGCTTCTAAATAACAGCACCAATTAATACCACCTTTGTTGCAGTCACGAATCTGGGGCATTTGTGGCACAAAAAGGGGTAATGCGCATCTGTTTGTTTGGCTTTTGTGCTGCCATCAAATTTGTTTATGAGGGCATACAGATTTCAAAAGGTAATGTCTGCTTCAACCCTTAGTTCTGAATTTCTGGGGCGGGGGGCCCTGTGAAAGGCTGTAATAGTGGCACATCTACCACTCTGATGCAGTCCATAAGAATTACTCCGATTTCTCCACTGATATTCATACCTGAATAAAGAGTGCAAGATATGGCCCTGAAAGAGGCCATATATACCCTAGATAACATTTGGAGCAGGGCAGCCACAGACTCCTTCCTCTATATGACTTGCATTACTAGAACAAATTATGAAACATACTGGAACGAGCTATTAAATATTCCATTTGCGAGCACCTCAAGGATAGTAAAATGATAAAAATCAGCCAACATGGATTTGGCAAGAAAAAAAATCATGTCAAGCCAATCTAATTTCTTTCTTTGACAGGCTAACTAGCCAAACAGAGAATGGAGGCAATCAATGTGGTATATCTTGGAGTTTAGTAAGGCTTTTGACACTGTCTACAAGATATTTTTGTAAGAAAACTAGATGAAATCACCAGGAGGTGGGCACAGAACTAGATGTAAAAGCTGCACTCAAAGAACAACTACCAGTAGTATCACTACCAAACTGAGAGGGTATTTCTAGGGGATGTCCAGAGAGATGAGACGTGAGCACTGTTCCTTTTAACATTTCAATTAACAGCTTGGATGGTGGAAGAGAGAGTACACTCATAATATCTGGATTACACCAACCTATTATTGGTTGCCAACACCCTGGAGGGCAAGATCAGTATTCAAAACTATCTTCATAAACTCGAGAAATGGTCCAAAGTCAACAAGATGAAATTCAATAAAGACAAGTGTACAGTAGTACATTTAGGAAAAAGGAATCAAATTCACAATTATAAAATGGGGAATAAATGGCTTGGCAGCAGTGCTGAATGAGTCAACAATGTGATGTTGTAGGAAAAAAAAGGCTAATCTCATTCTGGGCTATATTAATAGAAGTGTTGTTTGGAAATCATGGGAGGTAAATATTCACTCATTCAGTACTGGTGAAGCCAGAGCTAGAATACTGGGTCTAGTTTTGGGCACCACATTTTAAGAAAAAAGTGGACAAACTGGGGAGAGTCCAGAATTCAGCAACAAAGTGTTTTGAACAGGAAGACTGTGCAAATCTCTCTCAGTTTAGTGTGACAGAGGGCACCCTGTATCTGAAAATGACTGGGTAGTAATGAAGGAGTTCTCTGACTCAGTCTATGGACAACTAAGGCAAAATGGTGGGGCTGAAGAAAGCAGACAGAAGTCAAGGCAAACACTGTACTCGCCATTGGGACTTCTAGTGTGCGCCCATTGTTTGTATGTAAAGCTGTCTACCTGTGGAATGAAGGGGTTTGTTAGGAGTTCCAGGCACTGCCAGATGATCCTACAGCAGCAATAGTGAAAACAGCTTTCTTCAATTTCCAGATAGGATCCTCTGTCTTAGATGTACACTTCTCTACTGCCGTCCTTTGGTTACCCTGCTATGAAGCTATTTTAATATGTTCTTTGTGGAATTAGGCCACACAAAAGTCAAGCTGGGAATTAAAACCAGTGAAGCAGGCAGGTTGTTAAGCAGACTGTCATGCCTAGTTCTGCACAGGCTGACAAGGTGGAACCAGTTCGAAACCCTTATGTCCTCAATGCCTTGGGATCTGCCGGGTGAGCAGTTGCCTCTCCCCCTATGACATCCTGCTTTCAGCAGTGCTGCACACACTGGACTTCTCCCCAGGGAAGTTGCTAGTGGGAGGATGGTTTCTAGGACTGGTGTTTGAGCACATTAGCCTGTAAATAGCCAAAAGACAGCAAACCTTTAGAATGCAGCAAAGCCCATCTGTTGGAGCAGACTCTGAGAATGGCCAGGGATTAGATGTCTGTGTTTGTCAGACTTCAGCACCAACACACCTGATCGTGTCACAGTCTTCAACGGGAGTCTCTCTGGAAGGAAGGGCAGTGCCATAATCCCCACTGCACAACTGAGGTACTGAGGCACAGGAAGACTAAGGGCTAAATCCTGTTTCACCTTTAGATGCTTAAATGACACTTCTGATATCATTGCAATTGTTGCCACTTCCATACAGTTTGGATGCATGCTCAGAAGGCTGTTCCAGAGTAGAACAGCATCACTCAAGCACACATGTAATGCTGGGTAAGTGCCCCTCTCCAGAAAAAAAAAGAGAGAGAGAGGAGGAGGAGGAAGAGGAGGAGGAGGAGCCTCAATCTAATATTCCAGTGGTTTGGACACTTGTCCACAGAGTAGACAGCTCCACTTCTAGGCCCACCTCATCCAGAAAGGGTTTGAATTTGATTCTCTTGCTCCCCGGCAAAGTGCTCTAACCACCTGGCTACTGCCTAGGCATTGGCCAGACCACCTTTCACCCCTCACTGAAGGTGGCAATTTGGGCAGCCAGGAGGCAAAGATATATGGGGCCAAGGGGAGGAAAGCAAGTCAGACCATGCATGGCTCAGTAAGATGGGAACTGACTTGGAGGGGTAGAAACAATCTTAGTTCTGTTTATCCATATTATTCAATGAATATTAAATGCAAGGTGCAGAAAAGCTATTAAGAACAAGGCTTTGCTCCTGGTGTTTGGGCCTACCTTGGATTGTATTATTTTTTAATGATCTGTCAGAGGGGCCTAGAGCTCGAGTTAGTGAGTCTGATATTTACACACTGAAATAAAAAACAAACAAACAAGTGAATTAATTAAATGAATATAAGCAAACTACCTAGACTCATCCCAGTAGCCCAAGTTACTGTTGTTTCTACCAGTTGCAAACAATTACTAAGTTCCAAGACCCACCAAAAAAAAAAAGAAGTTATATGAGAAAATGACCCTGAAAGAACAAGAGCAGATTCTGCAATGGCTATGAATGCCAAATCACAGTGCTCTAAAATCAAAAGACTACATCCTGTGAACCAGGAAACATTTTTTTAAAATACTTTCTTACATTTGTTGTAGTTGCCTTTGGTTTTTGAACATTTAGTGTGCACCCAAGTCATGTTTCCTTTTTCTTCAGCCACAAAGACCACCAACTGGCTTAAGAAATGAAAGCTGAGAGTCTCACCTTACCATGTGATTTCTGGAGCTGGGGCGATAAGAATAAACACGCATAGCACGAGAGTTGTGGTAAAATTATGAGATGCCAGCAAAGGATATACAAGGGTATGTTATCTACCTGCAACCTGACTTTGGCCACACCCAGATCTAAACTGCAACTTACTGTCATTAGAGACAATCCTGGCATTTGGGGAAGTTTGGCTCTGGACAGCACCAAACTCTGGGAGAAACTGGGCTATGGCTACTTGGGGCTGCCTCAAATCAGCATTATTGTTATTATTAATACATATGCCTGGCTCAAAACCTCATTTGTGCGTGTATTTTTTCCTGACAGATTAATGGAAAATGCGTTTTGTTAGATTTTACCAGCAATAAGACACCTAGAGGTAGTTTGCACTAGCCCTGCAGGTAGAGAATGATGACCCTAGCTGCATCTCAGGGCCTCTACAAAGTATATTTTGAATACCTTGCATTTGAATGGACTGCTGAACAGGTCTTGAAAACTGCTGTGTGCGCGCATTTGCGCACATGTGCATGCAATTGTGTGCATGCCAGGACATTTTGCAAGCTTTCTGTCTCTCACAATTCCCATGAAGAGTATCATCTCTGAATACGCATACAAACCATATACTATATGTTCAATATGCTAGTCAGCACAGAACCTGCCAGGTAACACCCGATAAAGAAAGGCTGGAGTTTTTCAAACAGCAGCCACTTTAAAATCAAATACACTGCCTTTTGGGTTATTTGAGAATCTGGAGAAATAACCAATGCCTGTCTGAATGATAATGCAGAATCTGAGCCTATCTGTAGTATACATTTAATACAGACTACCCTATAAATATTTAAGTGGACAGAAGCACCATCCAGGTCTGATGTAACAATGACAGAATCAAGTATCATCAGCATAGTGATGGCACTCCAATCCAAACTACATATCTTCTCTGTTTCATTACCAATTTAGGCTAGTAAGGTTGTAGTTCTCCCTAAAAGGGAACAGAGGGAAAGATGAGAAACTGAGATATGAAAAAGGGATATCATTACCATGGAGTAGAGGTCACCCTGTTTCATGGTAGCTATGACTCTGTAGCTCCTGGCAGGAAGAGACATCTAGCCACAGTCCCCTATCAGCCAATGCCTGCAGTACATATTATTCATCAGAAGTCATATTCCTCACCCTTGCTCAAAGTAGAAAAGGAATATAGAAGCCAGGGATGTGGGGGAGGAAGAGATGAGATATGACAAGGGAAAAGGAATGTAATGAGGAGAGGTGTGAAAGGAGGAGGGGAAACAATGAGGTATAAATAGTCACTGAGGGGCCAGTAATCCTAGAGTCTATGGGAACAGCTCCAGTGTCATTCATGTCACATGCAATACAAGCCTCTGAAAGATAGGCACTGTCAGTCCATACACATCATATTGGAAGATGACCCTGGAGTTGTGGTATAAACTAAAAAGATCCCACCCCACACTGCTGGTCTAGTATGTTGCTGGGACAAATAGGTTAGTATTCCCTTTTCACAGCCCAGACATCTGCAAAAAGTTAGGACCTCTATTTTCCATCTTTGTCCTCTGCCCAGCTCTTATTTCTTACCTTGCACAATCAGGTAAACCTGGGAAGTCTTGGGTTGATGCTGTGTCTGCACTGAGCATGTATAGGACCCCTCATCATAGACATCCACTTTCTGGATCCGGAGGCTGTATTCCAGGGGGGTTTGTCTCTCCAGCTCCACTCGAGGGTCCAGGGACCACTTGTCTGTTCCAGCAAAGATGATACCAGAACGGTTTAACCAAGCCACCTTGGAGCTTCTGTCTTCTATATAACACCTGTGAAGGGTGAGACAAGAGATTGGGATATCAGCAAAGGCTCCCTGCCCTCCTTCTAACTTTCCACTGCCACAGCATCATAACCATCATCTTCCTCATTCCCACCATGACCGGTCACATTTTTAAAGCACTTTCAAAATATTAAATGAACAAGGCTACTCTGGAGACTCAAGTGTCCTGGTCCATACCATCTCTTCCCAACCCTACTCCCCAGGATCATGGGTGTGCTCCAGGAAGGGGGTCGGCCAGATGTGAGGCACCCCCATGGTGGTACTCAGAGCACTCAGAGCCTGGTAGGTGGTTGGGCACAGTGAGGTGGATGCACCCCCTGCTGGCCCGCCACATGGTCCACCTCCTCCCTCTTCCCTCCTGTGACACCTGTGCACCCTCACCACACCAACAGAAAAGGCCTTGTGAAAAACTAAAGGACCCCCTTTGCCTTTGCAGTTACACATCTGCATGAACGTATGTGCATATATGTGATGCTGGTGCCAGCAACATCACATTCATCCCCTGTGACATTTGCAGCGTCCTCAGAAGGTTACAAGCCAAGTGAGAGGGTGGGAAGAGGGATGGCAGATGGGTACAGCAAAGATTGGAGAGACTGATAGTCACCACCTGGCACAGGCTTTGTCCCATCTGCCAAGAGCCTCAGGTGTCTGCAGGCAAGAGGATAGACTGACTGCCTTTGCAGCAACATGACAGCAATTTCATTCTTTTACAGGGGAGGGTAGAGGAGCCATCACAAAGTCAAATCTAGCTTTGGCTGTGGCACCTGGTCTATTCAAAGATCAATTTCAGCCTTAATAATACTGAACACAGGAGAGATACGGAGCTGCAAAGAAAAGGCATGTATGAGTTTACCTAGCTTAGCTAAGGGGCTATGAGCTGAACAGGACATGGGAAACTTATCCCTTCTTTCACCCTAGCAACAATGCCTCCAAGGCTAGGCTAAGAAATACTGATGGGGCTTTATCAAGACAGCTTGCCCATCCCATGCCTGCTTTGTGGATAACTAAAAGAGGTCAGTCTTCAACTCTGTCACTCCTGGGCCTCTTGTGCTCATTGCCTCCTGGAATTCAAATATGCCAACTCCTCTCATCAGCACTACTCACACAAATGTTGTATTGGAGAGGGAAAGACAGAGGATGAAGATTATCACTGAAAGATAAGGCAAATATTTGACAGTGGGTTTTCAAACACTGTTAGGAAGGGTCATGCATTTTCCAAGTTCCTCTGCTTGAATGCAGTTTATTCAGACTAAGCTGAGGCTGCTGTGCGTGACGTGACTCAGATGATTCACTGCACCCCCTCCAGAGCAAACATGCCCACAAAAGCTTTGAGTTGTTCTTGGGTCACCTCTGGGCATGAGGAATGCCATGCTGCGTGGTGCCATGTGGGAGGTGCACCGTGCCACTGATCAAGCTGGAAGCATATTTGTCTGGTCTGACAAACATTTGCCGGGAAGGGACGTGTAGCCTAAAGACCTCAGCTAATGCTGTTGACAGGCAGCCAAGAGAGGCTGGCAAAGGTTTACTCTTGAAGTCAGAGCTGTTTCTTCTGGCCAGGCACATATCTACCCTGAGGTGAAATTAAAGCCATAATTGTTTTGGCTTTAAAATCTGTTCCTCCTGAAAGAATGGTGATAGTCGAGCAGTTATTTACATTAAGCAATCTGTGCACTGGAGCAGGCCACTGAGTGGCACAGGACATCAGCTACCTGTACTCCTTCTCACAACACATGGTGACAAGAGCAGAAATCAATGACCTGAGGAAGGTGCCAAGAACAGCCACCAGGAGCACATCACACACACACAGCAACACTTCACCCATCTCCAGGGCCTTTCACCTGAAGATCTCAAAGTTCCTCATTCGAGCCTTCAGGAATTTAGTCTTCCCAGCCAGGTAGATCAGCGTTCCCAGCCCAGACAGGCTAAAGGGTGAGCTTCCACAGGATTCTTGACCCTAAAGGGACAGGATAGGTGCCCAACAGATTTTTCAAAACCACTAAAACTGGTTAATGATTAGCTTGAATTCACTGGCCATCAGCATCACTTCTCACAATCCCGCTGTGCACCTCACCTGTATGTTTAGGTACCAAAGTGCTTTGGAAAATCTGGCCCTAAATGAATTTCCTCAGGTCCAAAAGTTGGTCAGGGGTAAAGCCAGAACCTGCTCCTCTGAGCACCAGGGTTCAGCCTTTGTCATGAGACTCTCCTTCAACCCCCAAAATAGTCTTAACTTCTCCACCTATATAAGGCACTCACTACTGACTAATATTTGGTTTTAAATGGTAAGACTTGTTCCTATGTTATTAACACCTGTGGAACTATTTGATTGCTACAACACCCATTTCACCAAAAGGTAACATCCTATCTGACTGACCAAAGACCAAGCAGTGGTGGGAAAGAAGAGAGTAACTTGCCACAAACCTCTCCCAGACATGTACTGAATCCAGCCAGGCTTCTGCCAGCCATGAAGAAAGTGATGCCATCTTTGTCAGCTAGACAGAAAGGTCAAGCCACAAGGTAAAGAAGTACAAAACAATATTGCCAGAAGACTTAAGAAATTCTGCTCTTGGGAAATTTAAAATGGCGCACCATACCCGACTGTACCCTGCTAACATCCAGAGGTCAGATATTAATAGGGCCATAATAGTCAATGCAGGTCAATTGCTAGACTTTTTTAAGTGCCCTAGTAATGAATAAAGAGTGCCATCAAAATATAGATAAAAAAGATAGAAAAGAGGAAGATTGGAACAGTAACTGAAATGGATTTGAGCTGCTCTGCTCAGCATACCTGCTTTTCTAAAGCTGTCAGAGAAAAATCAATGTACAAATGTGGAATTTCCAAGTCCTGGCTCTGTCTGAACATACATCAAAGTAGATTAGGTATCTCCATGTGTATATGCACAAATGTGTGCATCTCTGTCTTTCTACTGTATGTGCTGCCCAGCTTTATGGATCCCAGTTTAATAAAGATTTATGGGATAATGCTCAGAGTGTGAGACACATTAATTCAATACTGATAAAATATTAAATGGCATGTTAAGTGACATTTTAACAGCAATGCAAAAACTGCACAGCATCTGGTGGATATTAAATGACTGTTAAATGTTTATTAATAATCAATAGGTAGGTTCACAGCTATAACAGAATGCTCATCATTAGACATACCGAAAACATTATCATCAGTTCAGCTGAACACTAACAGACTTGCAACACATTCATTTTGGGTTTTTCCTGCTCCAAATGTTTTTGGGTTGTCTGCACTGGGATGGTAAACCTCTGCTTAGCCTTAGTGAACATACAGATGAGGTGCCCTATGTCTGCACTGCCACTGTGCTACATTTTGTCAATGAATAATGAAGTTGCCTTATGATGATAGGTATTTTCAGAGATCAAAACTATTCTTAAAATTGGATCAAAATTGATGAAAGCTGCCAACAAGATGACTGTTGATCATGGAATCATAAAAAAGTAATAGGGCTGGAAGAGACTTGTGGAGGTAATGTAGTCCAACCTCCTGCCACAGGCAGGATTGTCCCTATCCACACCATGCTGTCCATTTTACTGTGTAGCCTATTAGTAAAACTACATGGTCAACACTGTCATATAGCCACAAGGCACTGGCACAACACAGTCAAAATTTCCAGGCTTGGCTGCAGCCAACATCCACTGCTTCTGGGGAAGGCAAAATAAATACATAAATAAAGCAAGCCAGCAAAAAACCCAAAAGACAAAACAACAACAATCTGCACCCCCCCCCCCCCCCCCCCCCCCCCGAGCCATCAAGCAATAGGAGGGCACAGGAAACAAAAAAAAACCTTGCTGCCCCTATCTGATAACCAACAAAACCAAGAATCTTGGGAAATACTCATAGCAGAGCATAGGCATAACTACTCCCAGGTCATCCCTGGTTAATGCTTGTCCAACCTTTTCTTGGACACCTCCAGTGATGGACAGTCCCTACACAGTCTATTCCAGTGCCTCACTGTTCTAATAGTGAAGAAGTTTTTCCCAATATCCCAACTACATCTTCTTTACTGCAACTTCAAGCCCTTGGGCCACATCCTACTCTCTGCAGCAGAAAAAAAAAGGTGTTTTCCCTCCCTTTACAAGGGAGGATCACCCACCCCTACTCTCCCTAAGATGAAACGCCGAGTGCTCGTCATGGGAAACTCCCTCCTGAGGGGGACTGAGGGGGCAATCTGCCACCCCGACCCCCCAGCCCGGGAGGTTTGCTACTTCTCGGGGGCCCGCATCTGAGACATAGCTGAGAGGATCCCAAAGATTCTCCGGCCCTCCCATCACCACCCTATGCTTCTTATCCATGTGGGCACAAATGACACAGCTCAGAGCAATCCCAGCCAGGTCATGAGAGATGACAGGTCTCTGGGAGCAGGGTTTAGGGGGTTGGGGGCGCAGGTGGTCTTTTCCTCACTCCTCCCGGTTGTGGGTCATGGGCTGAGGAGGGAGAGACAGGTTGAGGTAGTCAACCAGACACTGCGGTGCTGGTGCCATTGTGAAGGCTTTGGCTTCCACGATCACAGCCCACTTGCTAGCACCACGGCCGAAGGGACTTGGGGGTCATGACTGACCACAAGACAAATATGAGCCACCAATGTGATGTTGCAGCTGGCAAAGTGAGCAAAACTCTGGCTTGCATCCATAGATACTTCTCCAGCAAATCCCAGGATATCATCCTCCCACTGTACTTGGCCGTGGTGAGGCCGCAGCTGGAGTACTATATCCATTTCTGGGCTCCACAATTTAAAAAGGATGTGGAGAAGCTAGAGAGAGTACAGAGGAGAGCCACGCGCATGATCAGAGGGCAGGAAAACAGGCCTTATGATGTCAGGCTGAGAGCTAAAGGACTCTTCGGCCTCGAAAAGCGCAGGCTCAGGGGGGACCTGGTGGCTGCCTATAGGTATATAAGGGATGTTCACCAGGATCTGGGGGAACCTCTGTTCACCAGAGCGCCCCATGGGATGACAAGGT